AGCTGCCACTTGCCCCCCCCCCCAGTCGGCGAGCGTAGGGTGGGTGGGTGGGAAAGGAGTAAAACGGAGCCGGCGCGCAAGCACACGCGGTTGAGGTCGTGCTACTGATGCTTTCGCGTCAACAGCAGGCAAGGCCCCACGGTGGCGGAGTGCGCGTGACCACCACCACAACCGCCGCCGCCGCCTGCACATATCAAGCATTTTGACCAACACATCAGAGGTTGGATGCTGGCACGACCGAAGCCGCACCTGGGCGTGCCGCCAACGCCTGGCTCGGATCCCACACTGTGGTGAGAATGCCATAAAGGCCACATTAAAAAGGAGCCATTGCAGCCTGACTCTCAGACCGCCTCCCATTAAGGAGGAGGTCCAAGGTACCCCGTCAGTTGGCAACCTTCCAATCCACGGCTTTTAGCTCACCGTGATAGCTTCAAGCGCGTCAGATTGTTTATAGTGAGGAGAAAGTGCGCTGAGTCGTCGACCTCACTCTCCATTCCCATCCCCACACCCCAGCCACTGTCCGAGCCGGTCAGCAGACTGGAGTGGGGAATGGGCGCGGTGGCTGACATGGTCGACTGACCATGCCTGCGCGCGCCACAGCACGACCTGGCCCCCCATACACACACAAACACCAGGATTTCACACAACGGGGGTAGAACGGCGTGTCTCCCACTTGCGTGAGAGGGCCGTGGAAGGTGCTGCATCAGCCCGTCCGCAGCCCACCAGTCCGCCACTACACAACACACACACACACACACAACGTGACGAACTGCGTGAACCGAGAACGGGCGTCAATCAGCAACCTTCCTATCCACGACACTTGAAGTGTCGGGATAGTCTCGGACTCAAGTCACTCGTGCAGCCGAGGCCGCATGGGGACCGAGTCGAGATGCACACTTCCCACTTGCGTGGGAGGCGGCAGTTAAGTGCATGAGGTGTGTGGCTGTTGATGTCTGGTTGGGTGATGGTGTTAGGAGGTAGGGAATGTGTGGTGTGACCGGCGGTTGTCTACCGCAGGTCGTCGTGGATGCGCATGTGGCCGAATAGACCCATGCGATGCGTGAAGGTGCGAGGGCAGTGTGGGCAGTGGAGGAGAGTGCGGTGGGTGTAGGTTGGTGCTCCAGGCACTGGCTCGCCAGTCTCTGTGCGATGGATTCGCAAGTGACCCAACAGGCCGATGCGTGAGGTGAAGGTGCGTGGACAATGTGGTCATGAGAGGTCGGCGGTGTCGGTGTCAGCTGTAGAGGAAGCAGTGGTGTTGGTGGTGGTGGTCGGCGCGTGTGAAAGGTGGAGCGAGGATGGGTCTGGGCGTGGTGGATGTGTTGGATGTCGTGGCTGCATCGGAATTGTGGCCAATTCCGCTCTCGTGGATGCGCATGTGGCCGAATAGACCCATGCGATGAGTGAAGGTGCGAGGGCATTGTGGGCAGTGTAGGCGAGTGCGGTGGGTGTAGGTTGGTGCTCCAGGCATTGGTTCGCCGGGCTCTGTGCGATGGATTCGCAAGTGACCGACCAGGCCGATGCGTGAAGTGAAGGTGCGATCGCAGTGAGGGCAGATGTAGCCCTGGCCCTCACGTCTGATGATGGAGGTTGCAGGGCTTGTGCCTGTTGTTGTCTCAGGTGCGGCTGTGGTGAAGTCATGCGCTGCAGACGCCGGAGTGGCCGTCGTTGTGGCAGTGATGAAGGAAGAGGAGGAGGAAGGAAAGGAGTGAGGGGTGGTAAGGTCGGTGGCGTCGATGTCGGCTGGGGAGTGGTTAGTGGGTGCGCAGGGTGGTGGATTGGGAGTGAGGCTCCGCGGGGTGGGTGTGTCAAGGCTGCGGTCAATTCCGCTCTCGTGGATGCGCATGTGGCCGAATAGACCCATGCGATGAGTGAAGGTGCGAGGGCATTGTGGGCAGTGTAGGCGAGTGCGGTGGGTGTAGGTTGGTGCTCCAGGCACTGGTTCGCCAGTCTCTGTGCGATGGATTCGCAAAGGACCGACCAGGCCGATGTGTGAGGTGAAGGTGCGGTCGCAGTGAGGGCAGGTGTAGTCCTGATCCTCATCACTGGAATCGGGAGAGGTGTGGGTGGTGATGTCGGTTGTTGTGTTTGGGTTGGTGATGTTTGAGACGGCAGTCTGAACGGCCGCCTCTGGGGCAGTGGAGGAGGATGGGAGTGGTGGTGCAGAAGGAGTGTCAGAGTTAGTTGGCGGCAGAGAGAGGGAGGAAGAGGCGGACGGGGGGACGATGGCTGGGGCAGTTCGAGAGGTGCAGTTGGTTCGGAGATGTCGAACAAGTCCGATTCGTGCCCGGAATGTCCGTTGACATCGAGGACACGTAGGGAGCGGTTGTGCGGCGGCGTTGCGTATTGAGCGAAGTTGTGATTTGCGGGCTTCGCGTTTCACTTTGGCGGCGGCGATGCGGTTGGCTTCGTAGATAGCAGCGCCCGTCTTCACTGTTCTCCTCCATGTCGGACGATCGCGAGCGAGCTCTTCCCAGTTGGTCGGGTTGATGTGCAGGCGCTTCAAGGAGGACTTCAGAGTATCCTTGTAACGGCGAATTTGGCCTCCTTGACGACGAGAACCCGTCGCGACGTCTCCGTAGAAGAGTCGTTTGGGTAGTCGCTCGTCGTCCATGCGCACCAGATGGCCGCTCCAGCGCAGCTGCATTTGTCTCAACATGGAGTAGATGCTCAGAATTCCCGTCCGTTCCAGCACTTCGATGTCGGGGATGCGGTCCTGCCAGTTCAGCCTCAGGATGCGGCGGAGACAGCTGAGGTGGAAGTGGTTTTGTCGACGTGTCTGCCTCGTGTACACCGTCCAGGTCTCCGCTCCGTACAGTAGCGTCGGCAGGATGACGGCCCTGATCATCTTCAGCTTTGTGCTCAGTTGGAGACCATGAGGATTCCAAACTGTGCTTTGGAGGCGTCCGAAGGCTTGACTGGCTTTCGAGATCCTGTTGGCGACTTCGTCGTCGATCTTGGTGTTGCGGGAGAGCGTGCTGCCCAGGTACGGGAAGTTCTCTACCACTTGAAGTTGAGTCCCATTCACGTTGATGTGCGGCGCGTTGGGGGCTGTGGCTGAGTTGGGAGACGGCTGATGCATCACCACCGTCTTCTGCGTGTTGATAACCAGCCCAAAGTTCTCGCAGGCGGCGGAGAATAGATCCATGCTGCGTTGCATCTCCTCTTCCGAGGTGGTGTTCAGGGCGCAGTCGTCCGCGAAGAGGAGTTCGTGCACGGTGGCTGTGGATACACGCGATTGGAAGTGCATTCGCCGTTGATTCAGGAGATGACCGTCCGTTCTATAGCCGATGCGGATTCCAGGGCGTTCGTCGCGGTAGGCGTCCATCAGCATGGCAGAACATGAGACTGAAGAGGGTAGGCGCCAGCACACAGCCCTGCTTCACTCCGTTGGTCACTGCGAATGCCTCTGAGACAGCTCCGTTGTCCGTGACTCGCGCCATCATACCGTCGTGCAGCTGACGCACCATCTGAGTGAATCGCTCCGGACAGCCGAATTTCTGCATGATCTTCCACAATCCTTCACGATTCACCGTGTCGAAGGCTTTCGTCAGGTCCACGAAGGCAGAGTATAGGTGGGTCAGCATCTCCTGGCACTTCTCCTGAAGTTGACGGGCGGCGAAGATCATATCCGTGGTCCCACGATGACGACGGATGCCGCACTGGCTTTCCGGCAGAAGGCCCTGTTCCAGATGGCTGTTCAGGCGGTTGAGCAGGATGCGAGCGAAGATCTTCCCGGCGATGTTCAGCAAGGAGATGCCGCGGTGATTGTCGCAGACTTGGCGATTCCCTTTTCGCTTGTAAAGGTGCACGATAGTTGCGTCCTTGAAATCTTGCGGGACTTCACCTTGACGCCACATCTCCTGGAAGAGCGCAGTCAGGTGATTCATCAGTTGGGGACCTCCGTGCTTGTAGACCTCAGCAGGGATTGCGTCCGATCCGGGTGCTTTCCCGTTAGAGAGCTGCTGCACGGCCCTGATCGTTTCCCGGAGAGATGGCGGGAGGTCGAGGTCCACGTTGGTCGCCACTTGCGGCAAGCGGGCGATGGCGGCGTCGGAGATGACGGAGGGGCGGTTGAGGTCGCCTCGGAAGTGCTCGGCCCATCGCTGCAGGATTTGTGTCTTCTCAGTCCGGAGAGTGCTGCCGTCGGCGCTGAGGAGAGGAGCAGTGCCCTTCGTCGGCGGACCGTAGACAGCTTTGATCGCGGAGAAGAAGTTCTTCCATTCGTTGCGGTCCGCGTAGCCTTGGATCTCCTCAGCTTTGCGAGCAGTCCAGGCGTCCTGCATCTCGCGCAGTCATTCCTGGATCTGGCGGCGACTGCGGTAGAAGGCAGCTTTGTTGTCCTCAGTGGGGTGATCTACGTAGGCTTTGTGTAGGCGGTTCTTCTCGGCAAGCAGATTTCTGATGGCAGCGTCGTTGTCGTCGAACCAGTCCTGGTGTTGGCGGGGAGCGCGACCGAGGACGGCGAGCGCCGTCGACTGGACTGTGTCCCGCAGAAGAAACCAGCGGTTCTCCACGGAGGCGTTCACGGCATCTCGGCGGCGGCGGCAGCGATAGGAAGGTTGTCTAGCCGTTGAGCTAGCTCATTGATGAAATGGAGACGGTGAGCAGGCAAAGACAACAAAGCAACATTCAGCTTACCTGGGGGTCGCTTACCTTGTGGTCTCCTGCGAGGCTGTAGGCGAATACGCATCTTCGAGATGACGAGGCTATGGTCGGTCCACCCGTCAGCACCCGCGATCGCCTTCGTCACCAGCACGTCCCGCTGATCTCGCCTCCGGACGAGGACATAGTCCAGCAGGTGCCACTGGCGCGACCGAGGATGCCTCCAGGTGGCCTTCTCTCGCTCCGGCAGACAGAAGAACGTGTTCGTCAGGATGAGGCGGTGTTCTGCGCAAGTGCGGAGAAGGAGCAGGCCGTTGTCGTTGGAGCCGCGGAGACCGTGAGGACCGAGCACTCCCCTCCAGGCAGTATGGTCTGTGCCGACGCGGGCGTTGAAGTCACCAAGGACAATCAACTTGTCCGCCTTCGACACAGTCGCCAAGAGGGCGTGCAGGTCCTCGTAGAACTTGTCTCTTGCGGTGGCGTCGGGACTGCTCATCGGCGGAGCGTAGGCGCTGATGATTGTGGCGAATTTGCCCCCACCCCGCAGAGGCAGACGGAGGCTCATCAGGCGATCGTTGATACCCTGCGGCAAACAGGGTAGTCGTCCCACGATGTCGGTCCGGATGGCGAAGGCGACACCCGCGTCTCGTCGCTTTGCCTTGGGTCGACCACTCCAGAAGAAGGTGTAACCGGCACCCACCTCCTCCAGTTGGCCTTGTTCGGAGAATCGGGTCTCGCTGAGTGCGGCGATGTCCACCTTGTAGCGCGCCAGTTCTCGTGCCACTAGCGCCGTCCTCCGTTCCGGTCGGTTGCTCCTTGGATTGTCTAAAAGGGAACGAACATTACAGGCTGCCAGAGTGAGCGGGCTCACCCTGCCAGTCTGGCGACTGCGGCGACGAAAAGTAGGAGTAGGAGAAGAAGAAGAATAGGCTGGAAGAGGAAGAGAGTGATTGTTGTTGTTGTTGTTGTTGTTGTTGTTGTTTCGGTTTTGGCTGTTTCGACCGTGTGTTTTTTGTCTGCGGCCACGGCCAGCCTACAGACAGCGTGGTTCCCAGCGATCTTTAGGGCACCTTTTCTAGCCCCCTCCCCCTCGCGGGGGCAGGCAACACATCCCTGAACAGGGCTGCCCGGTTATCCCAGACGGCTGCCGGACTCCACTATGGGCCACGACTTTTTGTTAGTGAGAGAACGACCCGAGTTAGCCTGGGACCTTGGTGGTGGTGATGTGATGGAGTGAAGTAGGAGAGACCATACACACTACCTAACGCTATGGGACTTAGAACTAGAGTGGACAAGCGGACACAGTCAACAGTCAGAGACAAAGTGAGGGCACCACACAAAGTCAGGCACCGTAACACCTAGGTATTAGTAGAGAGTGGCATAGACTGACGGACAGACAGTCGCAGCAGGCATCGAGGGTGTCGTTTAGCTATTAACAGACAGACTAGCATATAAAGGGCAGGCAGCAAGCGCAGCGTACGACGCGGAACTTCAACAAACAAAGGGAAGAAACAGAGCAAGGGCACTTACCTGAGGGGAACCTTACCTGGTGGCCGCCTACGATGGTCCAGGCAGAGCCTCGGCTCGACGATGTCGACGCGAAGATCCATCCGGCCAGCGCAGACCACAGTACCGCGCGTGCAGGTGCACGCACGGATACCCTCACCTGGTTTAGCCCGCCGGTCGAGACGGTTGCCCGGGGTGTGGCCGCTGAGCAGAGCCCAGCTACGTGGAGCCACAGGTGAGAGTTAGGTGCCAGCAAATGGACGCTAGGCGTAGTCTCACCTGCAAGCAAGTGAGCGACCACTACGACCATCACGTGGACCCACCGCTGACACCCCTACACCCCGAGGGCACACACACACACACGACAGTTCGACCGTCGATTTCGACGATGTCCACCGTGTGCCCCACAGACTGCATTGTGGGAGCAGGGACGGTGACTTACGCAGGGGTTTATAATGTCAGTAGACTTGCGTAGCATCTACCTACACTCTCTCCTCCTCCCCCGCCTGGGCCCGGTGTCAAGACAGAGTCAAGAAGACC